CAGACAGGCCATCGTGACAGAATAGATGATTGCCAAACAGTGATGAAGACAGTTGTCAAGCCAGACAGACACACACACACACACACACAGACAGATACATCGGCAACACACGCAGACACAGACGCATGAACAGACAAACACGTAGACATATAAACAGACACATAGACATACACATACATAGACAAACACACGCATATAAACAGACATACACTTAGACATATAAACAGACTCATAGACATACATATTAATAGACAAACACACACACACATATAAACAGACAGACTCATAGACAGACACATACATAGGCAGCAACAACAACAACAACCGCCATTCGCCACTAAGTGGCGGTGACGTCACCACGACGCTTGTGCCAGGTTAAGTGCACCTTGAGGCAAGCACACATACACAGACGTATAAACAGATAGACAAATAAGCAGACATAGAGGCAGCCAGACAGACACACACGCGAACAGACACGTAGACACGCAGACAGACTCGCAGATTGTTGGGTTAGTCCACGACCTGGGCGGTGTTCCGTGCCGTGCCCTCCACCCCCCGACGCAGAACGAGTGGGGAGCGGCGGCACAGCGGAGCCCGGCCACCCGAGTTCGATTCCAGCTCGCGGCCAGCACCACCAGTTCGCCGAGGTTGACTCAGCGTCGGCTGAGCACGCGGCACGCTTTGTTGTTAGCATCGCCGCCATCGGCGACACCAATTTATGTCAGGTCAAAAAACGTCGCCGTAAACGCCGTCGTTGAAACGTCGCTGTTCGCACACCGTGCCACGTGGTCAGTCGACGTTGTTTGCCGTGCCACGTGGTCAGTCGACGCTGTTTGCCATGCCACGTGGTCAGTCGACGCTGTTTGCCATGCCACGTGGTCAGTCGACGATGTTTGCCGTGCCACGTGGTCAGTCGACGCTGTTTGCCGTGCCACGTTGTCAGTCGACGATGTTTACCGTGCCACGTGCTCAGTCGACGCTGTTTGCCGTGCCACGTGGTCATTCGACGATGTTTACAGTGCCACGTGGTCAGTCGACGCTGTTTACCGTGCCACGTGGTCAGTCGACGCTGTTTGCCATGCCACGTGCTCATTCGACGATGTTTACCGTGCCACGTGGTCAGTCGACGATGTTTACAGTGCCACGTGGTCAGTCGACGATGTTTACAGTGCCACGTGCTCAGTCGACGCTGTTTACAGTGCCACGTGCTCAGTCGACGCTGTTTACAGCACCACGTGGTCAGTCGATGCTGTTTACAGTACCACGTGGTCAGTCGATGCTGTTTACAGTACCACGTGGTCAGTCGACGATGTTTACCGTGCCACGTGCTCAGTCGACGCTGTTTACACACCGTGCCACGTGGTCAGTCGACGCTGTTTGCCGTGCCACGTGGTCAGTCGACGCTGTTTGCCGCGCCACGTGCTCAGTCGACGATGTTTACACCACCACGTGCTCAGTCGACGCTGTTTACAGCACCACGTGCTCAGTCGACGCTGTTTACAGTGCCACGTGGTCAGTCGACGATGTTTACAGTGCCACGTGGTCAGTCGACGCTGTTTGCTATGCCACGTGCTCAGTCGACGATGTTTACAGTACCACGTGGTCAGTCGACGCTGTTTGCTATGCCACGTGCTCAGTCGACGATGTTTACACACCGTGCCACGTGCTCAGTCGACGCTGTTTACACACCGTGCCACGTGCTCAGTCGACGCTGTTTGCCGTGCCACGTGCTCAGTCGACGCTGTTTGCCGTGCCACGTGCTAAGTCGACGCTGTTTGCCATGCCCCGTGGTCAGTCGACGCTGTTTACAGTGCCACGTGCTCAGTCGACGCTGTTTGCCATGCCACGTGGTCAGTCGACGCTGTTTGCCATGCCACGTGGTCAGTCGATGCTGTTTACACACCGTGCCACGTGGTCAGTCGACGCTGTTTACCGTGCCACGTGGTCAGTCGACGCTGTTTGCCGTGCCACGTGGTCAGTCGACGCTGTTTACAGTGCCACGTGGTCAGTCGACGCTGTTTACAGTACCACGTGGTCAGTTGACACTGTTTACAGTGCCACGTGGTCAGTCGACGCTGATTACCGTGCCACGTGGTCAGTCGACGCTGTTTACAGTGCCACGTGGTCAGTCGACGCTGTTTGCCATGCCACGTGCTCAGTCGACGATGTTTGCCATGCCACGTGGTCAGTCGACGATGTTTACAGTACCACGTGGTCAGTCGACGCTGTTTACACACCGTGCCACGTGCTGAGTCGACGCTGTTTGCCGTGCCACGTGGTCAGTCGACGCTGTTTACAGTACCACGTGCTCAGTCGACGCTGTTTACACACCGTGCCACGTGCTCAGTCGATGCTGTTTACAGTACCACGTGGTCAGTCGATGCTGTTTGTCGTGCCACGTGGTCAGTCGACGCTGTTTGCCGTGCCACGTGCTTAGGCGACGCTGTTTGCCGTGCCACGTGGTCAGTCGACGCTGAGTCGACTGAGCACGTGGCACACTGTGTTAAACAACGACGACGTTTCAACGACGCGTCGATTATTGTGGCGTCAGCTCAACTCCGCCGGAAGAAAAACCATGAATCGACGCGCCCTTTAACTCGATAATCGAATTCTCTTTGGCTGTGTTGGTTGGCGGAGGGCCATTGAAGACATCAATTTCTGTCAGATCATTCAGCGGCCTTCTCCCACGACAGCCACACAAACACAAAGACAGACACACAGACACGTACACATGCACACAGCCACAAAAAACACACAGCCACACAGATACACAGACAGCCACACAAACACAAAGACGGCGAGCCGACACCACGGACACCCCGGGGTCTCAAAGTCCGAGATCCCGGCACTCGGAGTCCGAGATCCCGGGGTCTCAAAGTCCGAGATCCCGGGACTCGGAGTCCGAGATTCCGGGGTCCCGGGGTCCGAGTTCTCGGCCCCGCCGTCTCTCTTGCGAGCGTCACAATGGGGCGCGCGTCAGACTCGGAGAACCACGTGGCTGCCGAGTGTGCAGGAGGTGCAACTGACACCTCGTCTCCCACTTGCAGGCCAACCACTACCACCCACCACCAACCACTACCACCCACCACTACCACCAACCACCACCCACTACCACCCACCCCCACCTGGGGGACGAGGATCTCACTCTCGCTGCAGTTCACTTGTCGCGAGAGTTCAGCGCAGCGACAAGGCCACCAACAATCACCACCACCAACCACCCACCACCAATACCACCAACAACCACCACCAACCACCACAACCAACCACCAACCACCACCACCAATTACCAACCAGCACCACCATCAACCACCACCACCAACCACCACCACCACCAACTACCAACCAGCACCACCATCAACCACCACCACCACCAACTACCAACCAGCACCACCATCAACCACCACCACCACCACCTACCAACCACCACCACCACCTATCACCACGAGATCTCGGTAACGAATCGATTCCTGCCACCAGCCGATACTCAGACATCCAAGTCCCAGACATGGCGACCCAGAGAGGCCCCAGGCCGCCCGGACTACAAACTTAAAAAAATATATATTTGTGTTTTTAAATTCATTTTATTTTACCAGGTAAGGCCCGCTGAGCTGCTACGTAGCTCTCTCTCTCTCTCTTTCAGAAGCAACCTGGCCATCGCGAATGACAGCTCAACGGAATGGCTCATCAACGACATCATCATCATCATCCGTGTCGCCAATGTACAGCAGCAGCCATGCACTCTCTGGACGCGTAGAGACGTCCATTCTAAACGTGGAGGGGAGGGAGCGGAACCCCCGAAGGGTCCCAGAGAAAGATCCTCGCAGTGAACACAAGGGAGAGAAAGAGAGAGAGACACTCAGACTCCATATGTACAGCGGCAGGCGTCAGGGTCGGGATTGAACCCACGATCTCCTGCATACCAGGCGAGGAAGTTAACATCTCACCATGAGGATGAGAGAGACACGCAGACTACATATGTACAGCGGCAGGCGTCAGGGTCTGGATTGAACCCACGACATCCTGCATACCAGGCGAGGAAGTTAACATCTCACCATGAGGATGGGAGAGACACGTAGACTCCACATTTGCAGCAGGCGTCAGGGTCGGGTCTGAACCCACGACCTCCTGCATACCAGGCGAGGAAGTTAACATCTCCTAGCCACCGTGGCGCAAGAGGGAGTAGTGGATGGATGGGGGTGGGGGGCGGTGAAATTGGACAATGGGTGTGGGGGAGGTGCGCACATTTCATGAATTTCACCAGGAGCCCCCCCAAATCCAATCAAGCTCACCACGCAACTGGCATTGCCATTGAGTGGCACCGTCACTCAAGCACCGAGGCATCGTCATTGCGACCGGCCCCATACACTCGGCACGGGTCGCAAAGAGCTTCGCAGCTCATCGGATTCCTCCGCTCTAAACGCTGATTCTGAGTCGCGTCCATTGGTCTCAGCGTCGCTCGAGTCTTCCTCCAGCTCCTCCTCCCGGGCCATCCAACTCCTTCCTCCTCCACCTCCTCCTCCTCGTTCTCCTGGATCCTCCGTCCTCCTCTACCTCCTCCACCTCCTCCACCTCCTCGTCCTCCTCCTTCCTCCACCTCGTCCTCCTCCACCTCCTCGTCCTCCTCCTCCCTCCACCTCCTCGTCCTCCTCCTTCCTCCACCTACACCTCCTCCTCGTCCTCCTCCCTCCACCTCCTCGTCCTCCTCCCTCCACCTCCTCGTCCTCCTCCCTCCACCTCCTCGTCCTCCACGTCACCTCGGCCCGCGGAGCTGCGGGTGTAGAGACACCCCCCACCACCACCACCACCCACCCCCCTCCCCCAGCTGTGCCCTGCACGCACGAGGAAGCGTCTCTCGCGCCAGCCAGCGAGGGTGCAGGCGGTGCAACTGCACCGGGACCTCCCCCCCACCACACGGACGGCAGGTGGCGAGTGGGGAGTGGGGTGTAGAACCAGGCAACCCCCCCCCACCATTTAATTCTTTGCACACGGCGGGGGGGGGGGGCAGGCCACCACCCCTCCCCCCATTTCGTTCTTTGCACACGGCAAGAGCGGGGTGGGGGGGGGGCAGCCCCCTTCCCCATTTAAATATTTGCACACGGACCCACGTCCATTCATTGTAGAGCGTAGAAGGGGGACGGAGAGAATGGAGAGTCTCTGTGATTGTTCTTCGATGTCCATTGTCCTCACTCTCTCTCTCCGTGTCTCCGTGTCTCCTTCGCTCTCTCTACCCGTCTCTCCCCACCCCCAACCCCCCAAGTGTTCGGGATTCCTGTTCGTGACCCTACCGCGCGGTCATTCCCCCTTGGTATCCTGCAGAGCACACGGGAGGAGGACGGGACAGCAGCCGATCGTCACCACGGTCGTCATCATCATCGTCGTCGGTCATTATCTATCCACTGTTGAATGGATTCTTCATGGTCTCGTCATCCCGCTACCCCCCCCCCCCCCCCCGCCATCCCATGGGTTCGATCACAGTTATAGTCGCACGATCGGCAAAGTAGGTGGGGTAAAAACAACAAATTGTGCGTAACTCCCACCTCTTCGGGAACATCTAGTCTCGGCGTGGAAGAGTAGGCCAAAAACGAGCCTCGAGAGAGGGCCGTCTCTAGAGCTGGAGGGACGGGAGGGAGGTGGAGGTGGCTCGCCACTCCGGCAGTGGTGTGAGCGAGCACTTGCAGGGCTGCGCCTCTACCTCGCTACCTCTAACACTGTGGCTCCGGCAGTGGTGCGAGCGGGCACTTGCAGGGCTGCGCCTCTACCTCGCTACCTCTAACACTGTGGCTCCGGCAGTGGTGCGAGCGGGCACTTGCAGGGTTGCGCCTCTACCTCGCTACCTCTAACACTGTGGCTCCGGCAGTGGTGCGAGCGGGCACTTGCAGGGCTGCGCCTCTACCTCGCTACCTCTGACACTGTGGCTCCGGCAGTGGTGCGAGCGGGCACTTGCAGGGCTGCGCCTCTACCTCGCTGCCTCTAACACTGTGGCTCCGGCAGTGGTGCGAGCGGGCACTTGCAGGGCTGCGCCTCTACCTCGCTACCTCTAACACTGTAGCTCCGGCAGTGGTGCGAGCGGGCACTTGCAGGGCTGCGCCTCTACCTCGCTACCTCTAACACTGTGGCTCCGGCAGTGGTGCGAGCGGGCACTTGCAGGGCTGCGCCTCTACCTCGCTACCTCTAACACTGTGGCTCCGGCAGTGGTGCGAGCGGGTCCTTGCAGGGCTGCGCCTCTACCTCGCTACCTCTAACACTGTGGCTCCGGCAGTGGTGCGAGGGGGCACTTGCAGGGCTGCGCCTCTACCTCTATGCCTCTAACACTGAGCACGAGTATCCTGTAAGCTAATAAAACCACACAAACCACACACCGTTTCCGTGACAGACATAACGACATCTGAGAAAAAGAAAATAATAATAATAATACATATGAATAAATGAAATGTAAAAAAAGGAAATAAATTATTTTATTTCGTATATAAAATGTATTGTTTTTTTTTAGTTTTGTAGCGCACTAAGGAATAAAAAAGTGCAAGATTAGCATAAACAAAAGTGGTAAAATGGAGCGTTTACCAAGAAACACTACATTTAAAAAGTAAAAAAAAAACTATAAATATGAATAAAATAGAAATTCTGCTGGTGCTCTTAATGGTGTTATGTTAACTTTGTAATTTTAATTTAAAGCTTTCGTGACTGCAGGGATTCATATTCTTGGTTCTTCCGGTAAAGTCACGTAGAAGGGAAACAATAAAATAATAAAAATAAAAAAACAATACAATTCTCACGACGTTTCGACTGCAGCACAAGCAATCATCATCAGGTGTGAAAACCACAACAAGAAAATTTGAAAAAAGTGGCGTTTTTTTAACGTTAGCACCACGGATAGCGATTTGACAGTTTGTTCCGATCTAACGTTAGTTTCGTTCATGAGGCTATCCACATAAACAAACACAGAGACAATTTCAACCGAGAAGATGGATTCTGGCCTAGCAAACATTGGAAGGATTTGATAAACCATTTCGGGTCTTAATTGATTGATCACGCTTAAGGTGGCTTTCAGACCGCATCCATTATTTTTCGTCTACCCCCTCCTCTTTTCCGAGCATAGATGGACTCGTCCATCTGAATGACTGTCAAATCGCTCTCCGTGGTGCTGACGTTAAAAAATCGCCACTTTTTTCAAATTTTCTTGCCGTGGTTTTCACACCTGATGATGATTGCTTGTGTTGCAGTCGAAACGTCGTGATAATTTTATTGTTTTATATTTGTATTATTTAATTGTTCCCCTTCTACGTGACTTTACCGAAAGAACCAATAATTTGTCAATTTACTTTTGTTATGTTAAATGTGTTACGTTACATTTGTTTGTGTTACTTTTTGCGTGTTAATTTTGTCACGTACAATTTATGTTTCCTGTGTTGTGTTACTTTTGTTATGCTACTTTTGTCATGTTTAATGCGTCGTGCAAATTTCGTTATATTACTCTTGTTATGTAAATATTGTCACGTTACTTTTATTATGTTAATTTCGTTATGTTCGTTTTGTTATGTTAGTTTCTCATGCTAATTGTCTTACGTTACTTTTGTTATGTTAGGGAGGGAGGAGGGAGGGAGGAGGAGGGAGGGAGGGAGGAGGGAGGAAGGAGGGTGGAAGGAGGAAGGAAGGAGGGAGGGAGAAGAAGGAAGTTGGAAGGAGGGAGGAAGGAGGGTGAGGAAGGAATGAATCAGGAAGCTCTAATTAACACAAATGAGCATCCCCAACCGCTGTCTCGTTGGGAGCCCTCGCGAATTTTAATTAAACGCAGCCGCTGAGCGTGAATGATGCCCATTGAGTTGGTTTGTGATTCAACATGCACACCGATACTACTGCTGCTACTACTGCTGCTACTACTACTGCTGTTGCTGATGCTACTGCTGCTACTACTGCTGTTGCTGATGCTACTGCTGATGCTTCTACGTCTGTTACTGCTGCTACTACTACTGCTGCTGCTACTGCTGTTACTGCTGTTGCTTCTACTTCTGTTGCTGCTACTGCTGCTACTGCTGATGCTTCTACTTCTGTTGCTGATGCTACTGCTGCTACTACTGCTGCTGCTACTACTGCTGCTACTGCTACTGCTGTTGCTGATGCTACTGCTGATGCTTCTACTTCTGTTGCTGCTGCTGCTACTACTGCTGCTACTACTGCTTCTGCTACTGCTGCTGTTACTGCTGCTACTGCTGATGCTTCTACTTCTGTTACTGCTGCTACTACTGCTGCTGCTACTGCTGCTGCTACTGCTGCTGCTACTACTACTGCTGCTGCTGCTACTACTACTGCTGATACTGCTGCTGCTACTACTGCTGTTGCTGCTGCTACTGCTGATGCTTCTACTTCTGTTGCTGATGCTACTACTACTGCTGCTACTACTGCTGTTGCTGCTGTTATTACTGATTATCTTACTGATGCTACTCTTATTGCTGCTGTTGCTGCTCCCGATGTTACTACTACTGCTGCTGCTACTGCTGCTACTGCTGTTGCTTCTGCTGTTACTGCTGCTACTGCTGTTACTGCTGCTACTGCTGATGTTTCTACTTCTGTTGCTGATGCTACTGCTGCTATTACTGCTGCTGTTACTACTGCTGCTGCTACTACTGCTGCTGCTACTACTGCTGCTGCTACTACTGCTATTACTGCTGCTGTTTATGTTGCTGCTACTGCTGTTACTGCTGCTGCTGCTGTTACTGCTGCTGCTACTGCTGTTACTGCTGCTAATGCTGCTATTACTGTTGCTGCTACTGCTGTTACTGCTGCTGCTGTTACTGCTGCTACTACTGCTGTTACTGCTGCTAATGCTGCTATTACTGTTACTGATGCTGTTGATGTTGCTGCTGTTACTGCTGCTGCTGCTGTTACTGCTGCTGCTACTGCTGTTACTGCTGATGTTACTGCTTCTGTGGCTGCTACTACTGCTGCTGCGGTTTCTGCATTTGATGACAACTGTGATCACGATGCAATGGATGATCATGCTGCTGCTGCTGCTACATTTGACGATGATGAATATGATGATGCAATTAACGATGACGAAGACGATGCTTTTCTGCTGCTGCTGCTGCTGCAGCAGTTGATGGCAAATAATGATGCATTGATTGTGATGACGATGATGATGCTGCTGCACAACAGGAGGAGAACATACAAACCCCGAAACAAAGAGAGCCTTTTAGAGAATGTTGGAGCAAGTGCTGTTTGCGAGGAGTACAGAGCACAGCGGGTTCACTGTGTATGGTCCATCACGTGGGTTGCATGCCCACAATCGCACTCCTCTGGCTTGTCTTCAATGTATCTCTATGGGTCTCTAATAGAGATACAGTACATAGAGACGTTCTATGTATCTCTATTAGACTCTATGCATCTCCATGGGTCTCTATGGGTCTGTATGTATCTCCATGGGTCTCTGTATCTCCATGAGTCTCTATGTATCTCTATGGGTCACTATGTATCTCTATGGGTTTCTATGTATCTCTATGGGTCTCTATGTATCTCTATGGGTCTCTATGGTGAGCGGATGAGTGGTGAGCGGATGAGTAGCGAGTGGATGAGTGAGCGAGTGGACGAGTTAGTGGGTGAGCTGATGAGTAAATGAGCGGATGAGTGAATGGTTTAGCGGATGAGTGAGTGACTGGGTGAGCAGATGAGTGAGTGGATGAGTGAGTGGGTGAGCGGATGAGTGAGTAAGTGGGTGAGTGGATGAGTGAGTGAGTGGGTGAGCAGATGAGTAAGTGAGTGGGTGAGTGAGTGGGTGAGTGGATGAGTGAGTGAGTGGATGAGTGAGTGGGTGAGCAGATGAGTTAGTGAGTGAATGAGAGGGTGAGCGGATGAGTGAGTGAGTGAATGAGTGGGTGAGCGGATGAGTGAGTGAGTGGGTGAGCAGATGAGTGGGTGAGCAGATGAGTTAGTGAGTGAATGAGAGGGTGAGCGGATGAGTGAGTGAATGAATGAGTGGGTGAGCGGATGAATAAGTGAGTGGGTGAGCGGATGAGTGAGCGAGTGGACGCGTGAGTGGGTGAGCGAGTGGATGCGTGAGTGCTTGTGCAGATGAGTGGGTGAGCGGATGAGTGAGTGAGTGGACAAGTGAGTGAATGAGCGGATGAGTGAGTGTGTTGCTGAGTGGGTGAGCGATTGAGTTAGTGGGTGAACGAATGAGTGAGTGAGTGGGTGAGTGGGTGAGCAAATGAGTGAGTGAACGGGTGAGTGGGTGAGCAGATGAGTGAGTAAGTGAGTGGGTGAGCCGATGAGCGAGTGAGTGGGTGAGCGGATGAGTAAGTGAGTGGGTGAGTGGATGAATGAGTAAGTGGGTGAGTAGATGAGCAAATGAGTGAGTGGACGGGTGAGTGGATGAGTGAGTTAGTGGACGAGTGAGTGGGTGAGCGGATGAGTGAGCGAGTGGGTGAGCGAATGAGTGAGCGAGTGGACGAGTGAGTGGGTGAGCGGATGAGTGAGTTTGTGGACGAGTGAGTGGGTGAGTGGATGAGTAAGCGAGTGGACGAGTGAGTGGGTGAGCCTATGAGTGAATGAGTGGATGAGTGAATGGCTTAGCGGATGAGTGAGTGACTGGGTGATCGGATGAGTGAGTGAGCGGATGAGTGAGTGAGTGAGTGAACGTGTGAGTAGATGAGTGAGTGGATACGTGAGTGGGTGAGCAGATGAGTGAGTGAGTGGGTGAGCGGATGAGTGAGTGAGTGAGTGAACGTGTGAGTAGATGAGTGAGTGGATGCGTGAGTGGGTGAGCAGATGAGTGAGTGAGTGGGTGAGCGGATGAGTGAGTGAACGACCGGGTGATCGGATGAGTGAGTGAGTGGACGAGTGGGTGGGTGCGTGAATGAGTGGGTGAGTAATTGAATGGACGATTGAGCGGGTGAGCGGATGAGTGAGTGAGTCAATGAGTGAGCTAGTGGGTGAGCGGATGAGTGAGCGAGCAGACGAGCGAGTCGGTGAGCGGATGAGAGAGCGGGCAGTGCATCGGGTCGCTCTAACCTGGGTGTGCAGTAGGGCGTGCCGGTCCGCCTGCACCTGGCTGAAGCGCGACTCGAAGGCGCGCATTTGCGCCTCGACTCGCCGCACGTACACCATGTCGCTCTGTGTGCGCGAACTCAGGGCCTCCATCGACTGCGACATGTTCTGCACCTGCAAAGGGGGCGAGTCGCGGGGAGCGGACGCCGCGGGGGACGTCGCGGGGAACGTCGCGGGAACGTCGTGGGGACGTCGAGGGGGGAACGTCGCGGGAACGTCGCGTGAACGTCGCGTGAACGTCGCGTGAACGTCGCGGAAATGTCGTTGGAACGTGAACGGCAACGTCGCGGGGAGCGTCGTGGGAATGTTGTGGGAACGTGGCGGGAACGTCACGGGGAACATCATGGGAACGTCGTGGGAACGTCGCGGGGAATGTCATGGGAACGTCGCGGGAACGTCGCGGGGGAACGTCGCGAGTCAGCACATTTTACGACGTTACTTTAAACACAAATTCTTTCATTTAGGAGCGACGTCTTCTTTGGTTCTTTCGGACAAAGTCACCACCACGTAGAATGAGAATAAAATAACAAATCAATAAAATAAAAAAAAAACACGACAAAATTCTCACGACGTTTCGGCCACAACACAAAGTGGCCTTCATCAGGTAGATGAATCCTTGCATCTACCACGAAACGCTTCAAATCGAAATTTAGGAGCGACGCTTTGCGATTGGCCCACAGGGCCGTTTGTTACACACGCCGCCGTAGCCGCCACCGACCAACCGTAGCCGCTACCGACCACCGTGCCATAGCACCCACCCGCTCAAGCAGCTGCCGTATCTGTCGCGCGCGCGCGTCCCGCGTGCACATGTGCGGCTGCGGTGCCACCACGGTGCAGATGCATCGCCCCTCCGCGTCCTGCACCGAGCTGAACACCTGCCAGCCCACGTCGGCGCCGGCCGGCCGCCCTGCCGGGGCCTGCAGCCGCAGGGGGGCACACACCTAGAGGTAGGGGGTGGGGTGGGACGGGGTGGGGTGGGGGACGCACGAACGGACGGATGGTTACGGATGTCGAGATCCGTCAGCGGCAGGCGCGCAGTATCGATGCAGTGTTTGGAGGAGGGGGAGGGGGGCGCTTGGATGTGTTGGCTGCCGTTGTTGTTAAACTGGGAGAGAGAACTCGGGAGGGAGCAGGGCGACGGCCGAACGATTTCAATGACAGCGACGAGGCGAGCGGGAATGAGAACAGGCGGCCAGCGAGGGAGGGACTCTGGCCGGTGCCCAGCGACTTGTGTCAAGAACCGTGGAAGAGGCCGACGTAAAACTGAATTTCTGGTTTCGGCCGAAAACCGAAACCAGAGCCAAAGTAAGGAATTGGCTTTCGGCCGAAGCCGAAGCCGACCGTTTAACAACGCTTTGGACCGAGGCCGAAAGAGAAAGATAAATGAAATATTTCATGATGCAATGCTAACTTTAATTAAATAATAAATCTGGAACTAATCATTCAGAGCCTGCAGTAAGAGTCGCTAAATATTAAATCTTGAGGTGTTACTTACTTAGTAATTATTTCCAAGCAAACGAATGTTGTAGTTAAGAAACAGAGACTCACATGGAGACGCAGAGACTCACATGGAGACCCAGAGACTCACATAGAGACCCATAGACTTAAACAGAGACCCATAGACTCACATAGAGACACATAGACTCACATGGAGACCCACAGGCACACGTAGAGACCCAGAGACTCACATGGAGACCCAGAGACTCACATAGAGACCCATAGACTTACACAGAGACCCATAGACTCACATAGAGACCCATAGACTCACATGGAGACCCACAGGCACACGTAGAGACCCATAGACTCACATGGAGACCAACAGGCACACGTAGAGACCCATAGACTCACATGGAGACCAACAGGCACACGTAGAGACCCAGAGAGTCACATAGAGACCCAAAGACACACGTAGAGACCCACAGGCACACGTAGAGACCCAGAGACTCACATGGAGACCCATAGATTCACATGGAGACCCACAGGCACACGTAGAGACCCAGAGACTCACATAGAGACCCAGAGACTCACATGGAGACCCACAGACTCACATAGAGACCCAGAGACTCACATAGAGACCCACAGACACGCGTAGAGACCCATAGACTCACATAGAGACCCACAGACACACATGGAGACCCACAGACACACGTAGAGACCTAGAGACTCACATGGAGACCCAGAGACTCACATAGAGACCCACAGACACACGTAGAGACCCATAGACTCACATAGAGACCCACAGACACACATAGAGACCCACAGACACACGTAGAGACCCAGAGACTCACATGGAGACCCACAGACACACGTAGAGACCCACAGACACACGTAGAGACCCAGAGACTCACATGGAGACCCATAGATTCACATGGAGACCCACAGGCACACGTAGAGACCCAGAGACTCACATAGAGACCCAGAGACTCACATGGAGACCCACAGACACACGTAGAGACCCAGAGACTCACATAGAGACCCACAGACACGCGTAGAGACCCATAGACTCACATAGAGACCCACAGACACACATGGAGACCCACAGACACACGTAGAGACCCAGAGACTCACATAGATACCCAGAGACTCCCATGGAGACCCAGAGACTCACATAGAGACCCACAGGCACAGAAGAGACCCACAGGCACACGTAGAGACCCAGAGACTCACATGGAGACCCATAAACTCACATAGAGACCTAGAGACTCACATGGAGACCCGCAGGCACACGTAGAGACCCATAGACTCACATGGAGACCCACAGGCACACGTAGAGACCCATAGACTCACATGGAGACCCAGAGACTCACATAGAGACCCATAGACTCACATGGAGACCCAGAGACTCACATGGAGACCCATAGACTCACATAGAGACCCATAGACTCACATGGAGACCCACAGGCACACGTAGAGACCCAGAGACTCACATGGAGACCCACAGACTCACATAGAGACCCATCGACTTACATAGCGACCCACATACTCACAAAGAAACTCGCAGACTCATATAGAGACCCATAGACTTACATAGAGACCCAGAGACTCACATAGAGACCCATAGACTCACATAGAGACCCATAGACTAACATAGAGACCCACATACTTACATAGAGACCCATAGACTCACATAGAGACCTATAGACTTACCACATACTGCCACGCTTAGATCACGACTTTTAAGCTGTGTGAGAAGAAAACAAAGCGCCTTGACAAAGGAATCAACATATAATTTATATAATTTAGCAAATTATATGCTAATTCCTTTGTCAAGGCGCTTTGTTTTCTTCTCACACAGCTTAAAGGTCGTGATCTAAGCGTGGCCTTTCCCACTCCAGCGCTGTCCTCCAGACAGTCTCTTCCCTTCACCTGATGAAGGCCGCTTGTGTTGTGGCCAAAACGTCGTGATTTTTTGTTATTTTATTTTCACCTACGTGACTTTACCCAATAGAACCAAAGAGAATGGATCCTAGCAGTCACGAAAGCTTTAAATCTAGAATCCCCCTTGCTGCCTTCCTTCCCGTGATCGCACGTGCAAGCAGCAGAGGGCAGCACCGCCCGATCACGTGTCCACCCGTGACGTTCAAAGATGGATTTTGTTCAAATCCCCGAAGCCCTTTGCATTAAGCCACATCAAGTGGATGCTTGTCAGGAATTAATTGTGAAGCGGTGGATTTTTGTTGGTGCGCAGGCTATTGGTGACCGGGCTCGCTGCACTTGAGAAGCCGGATGAATCACAACTCAGTCTATGTGAGTCTATGGGTCTGTATGTGAGTCTGTGGGTCTATGTGTGAGTCTTTGGGTCTCTGTGTGAGCTATGGGTCTCTGTGCGAGTCTATGCGTCTCTGTGTGAGTCTATGGGTCTCTGTGCGAGTCTATGGGTCTCTGTGTGAGTCTATCGGTCTCTATGTGAGTCTATGGGTCTGTATGTGAGTCTGTGGGTCTATGTGTGAGTCTTTGGGTCTCTGTGTGAGGCTATGGGTCTCTGTACGAGTCTATGTGTCTCTGTGTGAGTCTATGGGTCTCTGTGCGAGTCTATGGGTCTCTGTGTGAGTCTATCGGTCTCTGTGTGAGTCTATGGGTCTCTGTGTGAGTCTATGCGTCTCTGTGCGAGTCTATGTGTCTCTGTGCGAGTCAATGGGTCTCTGTGCGAGTCTATGGGTCTCTGTGCGAGTGAGTCTCTGTGTGACTATATGGCTCTCTGTGTGAATCTATGGGTCTCTGTGTAAGTCTAGGGCAGTGGTTCTTAACCTTGTTGGAGGTACCGAACCCCACCAGTTTCATATGCGCATTCACCGAACCCCTCTTTAGTGAAAAATAAAATGTGATTTTTTTCAAATTCAAGACGTAGATATGTTTTTTACTGGTACACAAAATGAGCCGTGCATGAACATTACCTTGTTCAAAGAATAAAACCAACACAATGCATAAACTCACAACAAATTACATACCTGGAAATCAATGTGACTTCTGCTGTTGCCTTTGAGAGATCAGTTCAGATATGCGTGGCTTCACCTTGGCAAGTGCCACTCTCATGTCATTTTCACAGCAAAGTCTGTTCCTTTTCTTCGTTTTTATGTCCAGCATCCTCGAAAAGGATTGCTCACAAAGATATGTTGTAACAAATGGTATAAAAAAATCCAGGGCTTTCTTAGCAATAACTGGATACTTGTTCATTTGTCGACACCAAAACTTTGAGAGCGTTGTTGTTCTGAAGAGTTGCTGTTGAACCTGGCTCTGCTGAATTTCAATGATTTCGTCGAGGAATTCATCATTGACATCTGCTGTTTCAACAGCAAACGTGAACGGCTGTCTCACCCATGCTGGATATGACTCTCTTGTAGGGAAATATCCGTCGAGAGACTTTGCAAGCTCATCTAAGTGCGTGGCAATTGTTTGCTTCAGTTCCGTGGATACAGAAATATCTCCGATTCCAGACACATCTTCGATCTTACTTGCACAGTCGTCCAGAAGCGGGAAGTTTGCGAAGTTATTGTTCTCTGTTCGTCGTTTCCATAACGGTAGCTTTTTTTGAAAAGCCTTCAGGTGTTCTTCCGCTTCCATGATATTGACTCCACCACCCTGCATCTGCTGATTGAGATGATTGAGAGCTGCGAATATATCAGCCATGTACGCTAAAATGAGAATGAACTCAGGATTTTTGAAGCAATCTGCATGGCAGTGTTGGTGCTCTTGCAAAAACAGGGCTAATTCCACACGCATGGCAAAAACACGATTCAGCACCTGTCCCCGGGATAACCACCGAATATTAGAATGGAGCAGAAGTACCTCAAATTCAGAGCCCATTTCTTTACACAGCTCACTGAAGATGCGGTGCCTCAGAGCACTTTTTCGCACATAGTTCACACATTCCACCACAGTTTTTAATACTTCTGCCATTTTTGGAGGTAAGGTTTTTGTTGCCAACGCATGCCTGTGCAGAATACAATGCGTCACAATGATGTGTGGTGCATCGGCCTTTACTAGCGCACCAAAACCAGACTTTCTTCCCAGCATGACTGGAGCTCCGTCCGTACAAACTGCAGAAACCATATCCCATGAAAGATTGTTGTCTCTGAAGAAGTCATCCACAAGCTTCTTCACATCGGCTGCCTTCGTTGTTGTTGTAAGAGGCTTACAAAATAAAAACTCTTCTTTTATCATGTCGTCTTTCACATAGCGTACAAAAACAGCAAGCTGGCTTAGATCAGAAACGTCTGTGGTTTCGTCGAGTTGAAGGCTGAATTTTGCCGGGCTTGAAATCAGATCCGCGACTACTTGAGCCAAGATGTCTTTACTCATGTCTTCTATTCTGTCACTGACGGTGTCATTTGAAAGGGGAATTTGGGATAATTTACCTTCGGCCGCTGTTCCGTGTATCAGATTCGCCATCTTTAATGCAGCTGGTTTCACAAGTGTTTCACCAATGGTGTGTGGCTTGCCC